ATGCTGAGCTGCCGCAACAGAAAGCCAGAGTTTCCATAGATAACACAAAAGTGGAACAGCGCAAAACAAAATGTGTCCTATGCATTTGAGCTTTGAACTTTGATCTGTTATTGAATTTCCTCAGTCTGGAGAAGTTGGCAGCCTTTAAAAATCCACCTTTAAGAATCTACCTTTTCTAACGCAGTGGTTTACTAAACTCAATCCTAACTATCCTGCATCTTTTAGGTATTTCCCTTCCTCCATGGACCTGACTTAAATGACTCTGTGATAAACAGGCATTTGCAGCCCTAGCTGGCTGGTGAGGATGCAATGCAATTATCTGGTGCAAGTGTGCTGGAGCAGAGACACGTCTAAAACGTGCAGCACTTTGGGTCTCAAGGACAGATTAGGAAAACCACTGTCTCTGTGAAATACACGGAGGAATACATGGAGAGGTTTGTTGTAATGATGCTCTGCCAACAGTTAATATAGGATTCTGAAGCCAGTTTAATCAGACAAATCTATAAAAAAATTCCCTGTGTTAAAATAACAGTAAAACTTTGTTTACAGGTATTGCTCACATTTACCTCAGCATTCTGTCATCCCTGCTCCTAATAAAACAATGACCCATTTAAGCAGCTAGTTTGGAATAAAGTATTTTAAATCCTTTCCTTGTCTTCCTATGTTAGAATTATTAAGGAGTAATCATAATTCTGCTACAAGCTGTCTACCAAAGCGAAGGTGGCATTTTATTTTATTTTTTTTTGTTTTGTTTAAAAAAATGACGAGTCAGCATTTCAGAACCTAAATTTGAACTCATTTGGACAGACAACTCTAGTATCCAGTCTTAAAGACTTTAGGTCCTGTCATTACCTGTGGAGCAATATGGTGCCTGCATGTTAAAAAAACACAACTGCCAAGTTTTTCTGCATTAGTACACTTAAACACAAAACCATATACAGATGTTATCCAGTGTTCATACACACTTTGGATCTCTAAATAAATTATTGTTCTATATGTATAAGGAGCTTCTTATCCCTTAAATATGTGTGTGAGCAATTTGGGCATCTGTTGTACTATTGTAGATGTGCGAATGCAGAAAAACCTCAGAGCTTTTGTCTAAATGCCTGAAGCTAAGGATGTCTGTAGGTGTGTGTTTGTGAGTGTGTGTTTGAGAGCTTAAAGAACTACAGCAAGCTGACTCAGCCTTGACAGTAGCAGGCGGAAACAGGAGACAAGGAATTGGCTAACAATGTATGCCGGCAGCGAGGTCGGATGCACACAGACACACACAGTGGTATGTGCACACCTCTTTTCATCTTTACCTGCTATACCGGAAATAACAGTACATCTTATCTTACACAGATTACAAGATTTAATTGTTTCACTCAGTTGACTGTTAATAAAAGAAGCCGGTGCAACGGATGATGTGCCAAAGCGTGCAATTAAAGATCCTTCTGGAAGTGGCAGTTTGGGGGGAGGGTGGTGGAGGGAGTGGGGCATAAATATCTGCCTTTACTGGGCACCTTTGCTTTTCTGATCTCTTTCAAACCCACTCTGTCTTTTTCAAACACACGGCAAGCCGGCCCACTTCCTTACCAACCGCCTCTCTCACAGCACTGCCCGGACTTCCCACTGCAATTACTTATAAAACTTTTCAGGGCTGCCACACGTGGTCGGGTTTTTAAAAAGCAGCGTTCCCCTCCTCACGTGGTGTTGGGGGTATTGAGTCGTCACCGACCCCCTGAATGATCACCGAAAAATAAGGCGACGTAGACAATAGCTCGTCTTGATGAATTCAATTCTTTCAGGACCCTGTACCGTTGTCCAGGCAGCTCAGAACAAAACAATTGTAGCTTTGAAAGTCCAAGAAACACACACCAACTCAGTTGCTCTTGGAAACTCCCCCTAACAACTTCCGATTAAGGATCTAAAGATGATATACATCTCACCGGAACTTTGGAACGCCTTTTTAAACTACTTCAAAGACCTAAAAGAAGATGCTTCACAGTCCCTAACCAGGTCTGTGGGTATAACTAATGTTAAAGAAATATTTGCACACTTACAAATTCAAAATGAGGTAAAATCACAAAGACACAGAGAAACTGACCTGGTCTGCAGTGGAAGCAGTGATGGTGTTCGACTCAGACATGATTTGATGCTGTGACCAAGTGGTGATTCTCTGCTGGGCACTGTAGGCTCCTTCATTCACACCTTGTCTTTCAGTTCCACAGCGAAAGAAGGGGATGGGGGGGACACAGTATACCCTCCCTTTTGCCCTGGCTTGATTAATGCCTGAATTACTTTCACCTCATTTCGTCTGATGGAGCTCTGCTTCCTCTCCGCCTCTCTTGCTCATTCGGCATGGTAGTCCCCTCTCTCTCCCATCCCTCTCTCATCCCCCTCCCTTCCGCCTGTGTTTCCAGTCCTGCCTCAAACCTCAAACTTAACCTCCCTCCCTCTCTCTGTTTCTCCATCTCCCTTTGCACCTTACTTTTTACTCAACCCTCCCGTGTTTTTCCCTCTCTCTCATTACATTCCCACTTATCTATCACATTTATCCATTTCAGGAGTATAGTCTTGCCCTCCTTCTCTTCAGTTATCCACCTCCCACTTCACGAACCCCCTACTCCCACTGTCTCCCAAAAAAGACACAGGAAAGATCCAGTCTTTTTGCACTACCTCCACAGTGAATGGCTCGTTGTCACTCCAGCACCAAGACAGAATACAGAACAACTAAGTGGGAGAGAGGAGGACCCATGGTGGCAGTCATGGTGGGGGTGTTCAACTTCAAGTTTAGCAGGCCGGAGTAAAGTGGGGGGAAGTCTGGGGGACCCTCGGGCCTCGGCCAAGTTTCCTCACTCTTTTTCTCTACAAATTAACGCAAGCAGACAAAAAAAAGTTAGGAGCCTGCACGCCTTCCACCGGACTCTACTGCCCCCCACCCCCTTTTTCTGTCTCCCTTATTTCTTCCATTTGTTTTCAGAGGCAGCTGCTGCAACTCTGCAGACCACCAACAACTTCCCTTTCAGCTGTACTTGACTCTTCCAAATCCTCGTCCGTCTTTACACCCTGACATTGCCAATGCCCTCCACTCGCCCACCATTTCACACAGAGAGGCCGGCCTACGCCAATGCCCACCTCCTTCGTCTCATCAGCAATGTGAGCACAGAGTGACCACCCTTTCAAATTTAAGCGGTTCCCTCCTGAGCTGCCCTTTGGATGCCAACATTTTGTGTCTGTTTGCCACCCTATGGCTAATGGCCGCCCACAACAAAACAGAGCAAAGAGGCTGAAGGATAAAACTGCATCCTTAATTGAGGGGTGATTGAGAGATCAACAAAAACATCACTCATGGGGCAGTATGAGATGCTGTCACTCAATAAGTCACTGAGCATGAATTGTGCCAGTGAATGTGGTTGTGAATGATGTCCGAAGTTGACAAGCAATTGGCGCCTGGCCTAATGGGTGTTTGATAGCTTTGTACAATGGCTGCTGCCGCTTGAGTGGAGGCCCTCCAGTTATGTCTAACATGAGACAAGCAACACCGACCGGATGCTATTCATTTGTCTATCAATTAAAAGCAACAGAGTCTCACAGAGGATGTAATAAAAGATTCATTAGCATTTGCACGCCCTGTTCAGAGTGGAGAGAGGAAGCACTACAGGGCGAAAAAAGAACAGTTCTTGTTAGATGACTCCATGGGCTGATACTTTTGTAAAATTTTAATTACTTGATAGGGGAAATTATGTGTTTTGGTCATGACATATTTCCTGTGGTCTTGTTATAATAAATATGTTAAATGCCAAAGTTTATTAAAAAACAGAGCAAAAATAAAGCATAAAACATAGAACTAAAACATTATAAGACAACAAAGTATCACAGTTCTTTATGACATACTTTGCTTACAAACAAAGCTAGGCAAAACAGGCAAAAATAAAAAATCATAAAGTAATAGTGCATGACTACGCCCATTAAAATTAACTTCCACTTAAGAAAATAATACTGATCTCTTAAGAAAATGAGGCACCGTGAGCAAAAGCAATACTATTATGCTGTTCCTTTCTATTGGGAAAATATGTTTATCAGATTACAACTGCATATCCAGACTAAAAATAATTAGTTTGAATAAATTAAAAATGTCCATGTGTGTTTGCTTGGAAAAGAAAAAAAATTAAACTTAAGAATCCACAACTTGCAGTGGGCACTAAGTGAAGACGATATACTGATGCAAGAGAAGGCTAATTATAGGGCTGCAACTAAAGAGTATTTTGCAAAGTCGTTTAATCTCTCGATTATTTTTTCAAAAAATCGATTAATAATTGGATAGCCTAGATAGACTTTTTACGAAATCAAACCACTAAAACATTTCCATTTGACATGTTCTTCATACAGCATATTGATAGACAAGAACTTTTTTATCTTAAATGCAAAATCTTTGAATTTTTTTTACAATGTTGGGACAATTGCTGCTTCTGTTCCTGTGTCAGTTAAAGACACGTTTTAGAGTCTCTATACTCAGGTTAACGATTAATCGATTGCTAAATTAGCTGACAATTATTTAAACAATCGATTAATCACGGTTAATCTGATAAATTGTTTCAGCCCTAGTTAATTATTAAAGTTGTGGACTAATTTCTTTCACTCGTTTTGACATTTATTAAATAATAAATATAAACATATAAAATTTGGGAATCAAGAGGTTAAAAAGTAGATGAAGTTGAAGGGTGCCCACTGAAGGCCTAGTACCAAATGCACATCTGTAAGTATGATGTCTCCAGGACAGAGTCAACAAACTGCATACCAATGTTGGCATAACCAATTCAAGCTACCACAAAACTCTTTTTAGTATCCAATATTAAAAATGGGATTGTTTAACCTGGATGGATGGATGGATGGATGGATGGATGGATGGATGGATGGATGGATGGATGGATGGATGGATGGATGGATGGATGGATGG